AATAAAAAGAAATGATGTTGAATATCAAAGACAAAAATTTTGGATGCTGAAACCTAGGACGAAATAAACGGTGGTACGACACACCGTTAAAAGACTGTGTTAAAATATTCGAGTAAAAAGTATATATACCTATTTTCTCAATATGTATCTGGCATACATATTGAGAAAATAGGTATATATTCGATTACAATTTAATGCAGTTTACAAATATATTTGTATTCAATTTTCTGTTGATAAAATAGAAAAAAGGGTATCTAAAACAGTTCTTAAATTCGTGTAAAATAGAGCCAAGGTTATTGTTGGGAGATTGCAAATTCAAATTTAATAACAATTATTTTGTTTAGGAACTAGCACTTGTGAAAGTCAAAACTCGTTCGTTTATGTAATCGATTAATATGCTATTAATACTCATTGAAATAAATATATATTATGAGTAATAAAAAGAAAACAATCTAGAGTTCTTCTCCACTGGCATACTCTGTTCTCGAGCATAACACCTGAATCAGGTTGAAAAGTGACATAGTGTATAATATTTACTACGAAAAAATCTTTTAGTCCCTTTGACTAAACGGGTGCTTGGTCAAAGGGACTGTTAGTCGCGATATACAATTACGGTTTGACGCGTGTAGGAGATGTTTATTAACCAAGTATGACCTTCCGCAATGCGGCGACTGATCTAACCACTGAGCTACCCAGGACCTAACAGGACTGTCGAATTTTTCAAGCATTTGATACTTTTTCGCTACCACAGAGCATATTCTCATCAATGCTTAGGTGATCCACCCAAACAGTCGAAAGAAATAGTCCCATCTCATGGTGCCAGGGATCAAGCGGATTTTTAAGTATTTTTCAATAAGAATATTTCTCAATATAGCATTGTGAATGAAATTGATCAATTATAATAGATAAAACAATAACATCTTTCCTCTTTATAATATTGATCTGTGTAATAAAACACGTACGCATGTTTTTTTTATATTCTGTTGTCTCGAAAGTAATAAAACGAGCTCTTAATTAATTTTAAGATGCTATTGATTCCGCCGTAAGGACTGCAATGGCTATAAAACGACCCCAGAATTTACGCAGAGGTAAGGTTGAAATATACCGAGCATTAGGTGTATTTATTTTTAGTAAGTTACAACTGATGTGATTCAGTGATGTATTTGCGTTGAAGGTTAAATTTCGAAGCGCCGTAAGTTTCGACTAATAAGAATAATACAAGTATTACGCTATCGGGCGATCCACAAATAGCCATGTGCCTGACTCTAACTTAGTGTAAGCGTGACGATCATTTCACGTGTTGAAAGAATCACTATACATTTTAATGGTACGTTTGATAATCGTCGGAATTAGTATATCACTATGCGATAAATTAGTTAGAATTTATTGTAAAACTGACATTAGTTTCCTACTTTTGGTTATGTGAGGTCAATGACTCTTATTAAATCTCTGTATGTAAGTACATGTAGTCTTGCCATTAATATTGTTATATAGAAATCATCATTTTTTATTGAACGTAACATTAATTACGATTACAATGTGTTAGTTTAATACATTGATATAAAGTCATTGAAAATATATATAGTTTATTCCAAGTGAGCTCCATTGGCTGCAATAATTCGTAAAACGTTGAGGCCAGTTATCTATACACGCACGCACTCTTTTCATGCCAAAATTCTTAATTGCCAATCGTATGGATTGTTTTAGGGATTCCAAATTACCGTTGCGCTTCGAACAAGCTTTACTCTCTAAAACTGAGACTCTCTTAATCCAGAAGATTAAGATCTGGATTACATGTCTTGAGCACTCATGAAGTTTCTAACCAAGATTGGGTGGATAGAGCTTTATGACCTGGCACCGAGTCTTACTGAAAGGACTATTCTTGGTTATTACACATGGTGTGGTTAAGGGGCTTAACCACCTTCTCTAGAACATCGACACAACATACCAATCTTGATACAGTTGTTCCGATGTTTTGATGCCTTTTTCACAAAAATATGTCTTTGTCACTTCTTCATAACTAACACCCCGCCAAACCGTAAACAAAATTTTACTGTGATCCCCTTTGCGTACCACTTAAGTAGTTATTTTGATTTTACCATTATATTTTTTTTAATTATTTGTTTCATTGTACCTATGAATATATATAATAATAAATATATATAATGATAAATATTAATATACGGTATAATAACAATTGATTAATCAATCACCAAGTCACCGAGCGTATGGAAGGTTTTGAAAATTATGTTTGGCTCCATACCAACTTTAGGTAATGCAATCACAGCAATGCGGTTTTCTTTATCACCCCACTCCATTTTAATAATATTTTACAAAATATTGGCGGGAAAATAAGAAAAGACAATTAAAAATCATATAAAATGACAGATTCGAAATTCAAAAGTAATTATTTTGCATTAAAATATTCTTAATGAAAAAAATATATTTTTTTTATTTTTAATTCTAACAGAATTTATAGTCAGACTAAATATTTGAAGGGGTTTGGTGCAAATTTGATAAAAGATTTGTCAACGTTTCACGCTTTTTGGTCTCATGGAAATATGTGTTAGTATGCGACGAATCTTTCGTTTGCACCGACCCTAATTTCAATTAATGACGTTTTATTACCCAGCCCTTGACAAGGATATTATTTGATAAAATAAAAATATTTATTTTGTTGTTTTTAATTTTCTTGAGTAATTATTTAATATTATTGAATTATGCTACATCTCGATATTTATACAAGTCAATATTTTATTCTTTCAGGTATTATTCAAAGATTAAAAGTTTATCTCGGATATCAATATCAAAAGAGCTAAGGTCAAAGTGATAGGTATAAAATTTGTTGTTTTTATAATTGAATATGTATATATTCTATAATTGATATTTATTTTTCCTTTTATTTAACGATGATTAAGGTTTATAATATTTTTGTGTTAATTTTAATTAAGTCAAACTTAACGTAATTCAGAAAACTAAAAACACCAAATTTATTGACTATGTAAACATTAAATGAGTATTGATTTTTAAAACAATATTACTTGTTTTTAGTTATAACTTAAGTTACGAAATTTTAACCAGTTTTAGGGTCGAGTGAATAGGTAGTCCGTCGGTGTTATTTTAACATCCCTTCGTATTAGCATCACCGTGACTCAGGTGTGCTAGCGCTAGCTTGTCATTTATATTTGACTACGCGCATTTGTTACTGGTCTTCTTGTTAATGATTTCAGTCTTCCAGTTTTGGGCAGGGTTCAAAAGATTAGGTGCATATGTTACAGTATATACGTGACTGATCTTTTATCAGATAGGCACTGCTTAGGTGCTCAGAGCAAAAATGGTGTAAAGCGTACATATGCCGATAGTGAACACGAGCCTATACGAAACTATCAGGTGCGTATTTGGAAAGATTAAACCACAACATACCATCCGCAACTGGTGCTGAGTCAAATAGTTTCACCTTACTTACGAAGAAAGTAGGCACTTATGAGAGGAAAAGATTTACGGGCTTATCGAGTGGTTGGATTTTGATACGAGGACCCCATTTGATTCACTAGACACTATGCAGAAACCAAAAGGCTAGTACTAGACAAGAAAGGTGCAATTACTTAAAGCACAAAGGAGTGGAAATATAGCCTATTGTGTGACTACGGCATTGAAGATCAAACCACGAACCACATATTATAGATATTATCAGGGTGAATCAGGCACTATTATTTAACATCAGAAGCTGTTGATTGGTTTTGCGGGTTGAATGGAGATATGTATATATATTGATATTTTATATTAAATAAGAAAATATGTTTTGTAAATCGCCACCAAATCAGAAATGCTACTAAACAGCTTCGACCTATAGGAACTATAGAATAAATAAAATTCCTGTACACACAATTTCAGCACCCTATTGAGTTTTGTGTAGAAGAAGAATAACAATGAGTGTTATTCTTTGTTAATTTCATTGGTATATTTACTCTATCTCAATAGGTTGCTGAACAGGCCCAAAGTCGGGGGCCTACCTACTATAAACCCTAGGAGTGTCCTGAATGCTATTTAATGTAAAATAATTAACTGATTTTGATGAAAGATGTCGATATATAACTGACTAGCTATACAGTTTTCCAGTCCGTTTTAATTAACGCATTCGAAGCGATTGAATGCTGCGGTTTGATAGACAAGCCGTTCTATATACGCTTTGTGACAGTGCATTCCTACTGCAGACACTAAAGGCTGGCGTTCACTACGCTAGCTGAGTGTAGAGCGTGGTATTAGAATGGAATCGCATTAATTCGCTTCCTATTATGAAACGGCGGCGTCCATAAGCGATGAGCCGACATGTGTCGAACCCAGCCGAACTCGGGCGAATTTCTATGGCGACGCGTTTCAGTGTTTTGTTTTAAGTCGATTTACATCTGGTTATGATATGAGTAAGAAGATTATAGGGTTTAACAACAAGTATTGTATAATCGAATTAATAACCATCATCTCCTTAGCGAAGTTATAGTAAACTTGTGGTCATATTTCGTTATAGCGATTGTTGCTAAAATAATTTCATAAAATTTAATCAAGAAATTAACACAGACGGGCGGGTGTTCCGGTCAAATATTTAATTTTAAAAACCATAGATAAGTTTTCTTTTGGTACATAAACATTGGACTAATTTTCTTTTTTTTTCAAGATGTTATCTCGTAATTTCGGATATCAGGAGGGAAAATATTCAAATTCGTAAACAATTTGTAATATAATTATTAAAAAAATATTTATAAAAATACATTTAAGATTCTCATAACCGTTTTATTATGATATGTCACATAATATAGTTTTTCTACATTTCACGACTGTTACATACTTGTACCAAGTTTCATTTCATGCGTTCTGGAGTTCGTGTATGAAAGACAGATTGAAAATCGAACGATCCACAACGATTCACTTTATCCTTTTTGAACTGAATTCTAGAAATAAGTAATATCAATAATAATTTAGTTGGATTTGTTTAAATAGCATTTTTAATATGACATTTGTGACGATTAAGCCGTTCTACCTATATTATTTTATCTTCATAGGTAAATAGTTAAGAACGTTGTGCTTACCTGCGCGCCTACCATTCCTTCCCTGAGCCTCGGGAGATCGGTATGAGAGTATTTGGAGATAGACCACGGCTCTACCACAGTGAGGTCGGTGTCTAACTCGAATTCGTTGATCTGGTTTCGTAGAAATTTCCTTATATTCCAGGGAAGGTCGTTGTGCCTGATGGATGTAAACAAAATGTATTAATGAACGAATCTTTTCTTTAAATGTTTTCTTATTTATTAACATCAATAGATTTATATTAAATCATTCAGAAATCACACATCTTATATGGAATCTTTACAATGTATAAAAAAGCAGGCATCCATTTAAAATTTGGCAGTAAAATAATCAAAACGATGTAACCCAATTTGGTTAAGCTTGGTGTTGCTACTTAAAAATGTTATATCATGGAAAGGGGGAAAATTTAATAATCAGAGGGGAAATGGTAGATTTTCCGCTCCCGGGTCTACGACAGGTGACGGTACCATATTGTGTTGTGGAAAAGTGTTGCTAAATAATAACGTGAAATTGACAATTTGTTTTATATACCAAAATGCAATTTAATTTTAATGCCTTGTAATTTGCCATTGTATATCAATTGACTGCTTATATAATGGAACTTTTAAAATGTCATAAATGATATTACAAGGGAAAATCATTGAGATTTGCTTCCATAAATAGCTTAATTATAAGTGTGCTTTATAGTATTAGATACAATTATATAATAAATTTATTATAATATAATTGTATCATATCACTATGATGCACTTTCGTTTCATAATACTATGATGCACTTTCGTTTGCCTTAGAACATAGACTAATACCCGGTTTCACAAACCTCCATTAAAAAAGAAGATAAATTATACATACCCATCAGTGAGAGGCACCTCTTCTAATATTTGCTTGGCTATTTCTAGTCTTTCGCGGTCATAGGAAGCGGCCGCTACGACCGCGGTGACCGCGAGGAGAACGCACGCGACCGCGCGTCTTTCGCACGAATTCACCATCCTCACTGAAAATAATTTTCATTTGATTATAAGGAAACTTATATTGTTTGATACGAAATGTCCGCCTTAGCCAATAAGAGTGATTCATTATTGAAGTTTTTTTAAATGGTTTTATTTAACTCGACTTTGTGGGTTAAACATTTTCCTTTCGCTTAATCGATAAATCAAATCAAATCAAATCAATTTTTTATTATTCTGTTTAAGCTTTTACAGAGCACTTGTGATAGTCGAAAACTACGCCATCGGTTCGCAAAACTACGGCGGGAGACCTTGTACTGAGAAGAACCGACAAGAAACTCAGCAAGGGCTGTTTTCTTTTTCTCCTTGTTTTATTTCACACAGAGAAGTCTTATTGAAAACTGACTTCATTAGAATATAAAGTCACTTTCCATTACAATATTAGAAAGTTAAATACAATAAAGTTAAAATATCTAACACCATGCCTTTTTGTCATTTACATATTCCTGATTCCTCTGCCTAGCAGGCCAATTTCGCTAATGTTTACGTAATAATTAATTAATTTAATAAATAATTTAAACAGAACTTAAATTTTTAAACCGATAGATTTTTTTTAATCACTTATTAATTTTATTAAATTCTTATCATCAGTACGTTTCAGAATTAATAATTTTAAAGATGATAATTCAAGAACCGCACTTAATTAGAGGCTATTAAACATTGAGTAGGGTTGAATATATAATTTTACTTATTCAAGAGCGTACCTTGCAAGTCACGTATCCTAAATTGAGAAGATAGATAAATAAAAAAAGGCACACATTACAGTGCATAAAAACTACAATAATAACATGTTAAAAGTCTAAAATATCTTATAAATTGTGCCGTTACGATACAAAATGGCTACAGTTCAGGGATATTTTTGCAGGAAAAGCAAAACACAGATTCTCGGGAGAAATTATCAGTTTGTTTTATTATATTTAAAACAAAATCAACAGCAACACAAAGGTGTATACACAAAGTTTATTTATTTGAACCGGACTATCAACAATGAGCTGCAAATACAACGCTATATGAAACATCAAAACCGAATCCTACAGGTCGCAATTATTATTTCACGCTTGTACACTTATACGTCAAACGCAGACACCGGGGACTGAAGGAGACGGTGATATATGACATTGTTCACGTATGACAGGGACGGAAAGAATAACAATGTCACCGCTGGGGACAGGTAATCCAAGGACTACGATGGAATACGTAATAAAGGTTTGTAACAGGGTCGTCCGGGCTTTAAAAGTAATTAGTGGGCGCTATGAGCAGAGCTTTTTTGCCTATAAACTCGTTGATTCTCCGAGGTACTCGCAAGGATCGGGAGTGGTTGAAAAAGTAGACAGGCTTTATCATCAATTCAGCATCAAGTGCTGTTTTAAATACGTTTTAATTAAAAATAACGGAAATAAGTCTAAAACCACCATAATTTCCTTCTTTCTTTGTATCTCGGTACCTTTCATTTACTAACACCCAGTTGCACAAACGACATTTAAGGTTTAATGACGACTTTTAACTCTAATGAAGGTTCTAAATTTGTACGTTGCAATAGATGAAAGAATTTTATAATCGGTGCAATAGCGTGGGAGCATTTCTAATGCAAACAAACTAGTAATCAAATCTTTTCTGTTTATAATGGGAAGTTTATTGGAAAAAAATATGTCGAACAAATAAAAAAAAAACACTATGTTGACATACTTTATATAGATATTTAATATTTTTAGTGTTATAATTTATTAAAAATATCAATAACACTAAACAGCATGATATAAAATCTTTATTAATAAGTAAAATCTGAATGTATATTATATTAATTGCCGTGCACAATGAGACAAATAGGGATAAATTTACGCCTCTTCATAGGATTGTTTGTATGACGGGAATCATGTGTCTAGAAGATATAAAATTAAAAATTGTCACAGACACCGGATGCGCTCGTTGTTAATTAATGTCATTTTCTATTGTTTCATTGTGTTGTTTCAAGAAATGTTATTATATTTTATTTTTTTACTCATGCTATTGCCGCCCTCGGCAACTGCTTCTTTTAATAAGAATGCTCATGTAAATAAAATAAATCAAAATGGTCGAAAGATATGTAAAATCATATCATGTCATATCAATTTTTTTTAGTTTTCAGTGAATTCGTATACAAGAATTTAGTTCTCAATTTGTTCATAAAATATGGCGTAAAGATGGTAGTGAAGATAAAATGTCAACTTATAATTTTAGAGGAGCAGAATAAAGTTATCATTGAAATAGAATTGTTGACGTAATTTTAGCAGAATAATAATAATAAGAAAACTGAACTAAACACAGTAGTATGTGTAAATTAAAAATTTTTTTTAAAAAAATTGTTGCTTTTGTTTTAAGGTTAGGGTTCGTATATCGGGTTCGTAGCGGGCTTTCAACATGTGAACTCGATAATGATTCTAGTCTAAGAGATCGTGACAAAAATGTGCAAGAGCATTCTAAAGCTTGATATTTCAGTATGCTGAAGTACTAAGGTTATTTTTTATACATCGCTCAGCAACAAGTGCGGAGGTCAGGTATTATAATACCTGTGGCGGTGAGGCAATGTAAAGCACGATCAAAATTGAAGGTGCATTTTAATAATTTGTAATTACCGAAAACTCTTTCAGGTTAGTGTACTTTTTACATTAGTAAAACCTGCTCAGATTACATAATCGTGTAACGCGGTAATTCAGTAGATCTCAGGTGTTTAAATAAGTTTCGTAATAGTTAAAGGTTGAACTAACTACTAATAATTTATTACTAAAATATTAGTATTTAGTTTATAAAAAAAAAATACTCAGACTTACAAATGAAAGAACTTTCGAATTTTTTCATACGAAAGGTTGAGTATTAAGTAATTCGAATGAAAAAACTAAAAAAAGAAACTTTCGAATGAAAGTCTGAATAATTTCCATTGAATAGTGGAGGAAACATATTAAACAATAGCTAAAAGTGTGTTCGTTGGATACTGAGTGATGTACTTCGTGTGTTCATAAGTTTTGAGACGAAATAGGAGTTGCGTAACTTTTTAATAATTAACTTTCAGTAACCATTAAATAAATAATGATCAACAATAATATATATATTTTTTTCAAAATGACCGCTCTTGTTTCTAATACAGGCCCTTAGACGATCCGGCCAGTCATCAATGGCGGCACGAATCTTTTCTAGCGAAATTCGGTTTGCTTCTCGAACAAGGGATCTTCAGTGGCTAAAAGTTTGGGTGGCGCTTTCTGTAGGCCCTGAGCTCTAATTCAGTCCATAAAGGATTGTGGTCGGGGCTGGATGAGGACCACTCGTCCGCCACGATGAAGGTCGGCTCATTCTCCCTCAACCATGCTTGGGTGCTTTTTGCTTTATAGGATGGCACCGAGTATGCTGAAAAACCCAATCCTTATTGTGAAATAACGTATCAGACAGGGATTTCACCACGGGCTCTAAAATGTCACTCTGATAATTTTTGGCTTTCACCTTGATACCTTATTGGCGGAAATAGAGCGGAGTGACACCGAGGCAATCCATGTAGAAGCAGGGACATCCGTGCTACTTTTAGCGTACACTTTATTTATTGTTGTGGCGGTTGAAATTTTCTTCGACAGTAAAAATGCCTAGTAGTATCTTCCTTGCATCATGTCTCCTCAGCAGCAATGGACAAAATTAACTTACGAAGACGATCGTTTAAAAAGTGAATTTTTCTACGGCTATAGACGTTTACCCCAAGATCATATTTCAGTATTTTGTTCGTTTTTTTTCCCACCTTAAATATCGAAATGACAATTGATACAAATAAACTAAAAGTTAACATTCCAAATTCAAAATCGGTAAAAAAAAAACAGACGGTAATATTTTATTTTATTTTTTTAGTAAAAACATTGTCTCAAAACTTATGAACACACGAGGTATATACCCTTAGTACTTCAATATATTGAAATATCAAGCTTTAGAAAACTCTTGCACAATTTTGTCACGAGCTCTCCGTCTTTACGATGCAACACGCAATTGCACCCGGATGCAACCACACGAACAGTAGCTGGACGCCATTGTAATCACACGACAATTGCTATTACACACGATCTAGCTTGACGTATCTGCTAGGATTGTCAGTTTTTTTTTCAGCTGTATTAGTGTGGAACAATATTAATTTTAACCTACCGCATTCAAAAGTAGGGGGATATTAATTTAACCATCATGTTTGTCATTTCGTTGTAATGACGCTATGTTCATACATGTTAGTCTATATGGACTTATAAACACACATGTTTGTCCACGCATTTCTGGCAAATATTTTCAGAAGGTCGTATTGAATTTGGGCGGGGTTATGTGTAGGTTTAGGTTCAAGAACATTGTAAAGTCAATACAATAGGGTTGCTTTGACATTGATCTTGAAATTATAAAAAAATACATTTAAATAAATATATTTAAGATTCTGATATTTAGTCTGAAAAACGCGAATAAAATATGAATTAAATTAAAAGTAGTGTTTTTAATCCGTGTATTACGTGACGTGGAATAGGAACTGATATGGTGTGATGAAGTAGATAAACAGATAATATTATATTTCTAATCATAACACACAATCACATCACATATTAGGTTTTACATGACAAAAAAAAAAACAAGAAGAACAAGAAACAGAAATGTACCTGTGTGCAGAACTTAAGAAAAGCATTTGGATTCGGTGTATTAAAATGACCTAAAGCGATGAAGTACCAATTTTAAGCCATCAACCCCTTATGAGATGAGTATAAACAGCTATCTATCTATCATGTGGTACAAGATGACCTTGTTTCTCAGATTGATATCTCATATATTTATGCCCGCAACTTCGTTTGCATGGTATTAGTATTTTTAATCAACTTCAAAAATAAGAATAGGTTTTCAATTTTACTGTTTTATTGTATCCATATTGCACATTTTTTTTTTGTTTGAAAGAGTATATCCTCAAAATAATGCCATTAAAACTTTGAAATTGGATCTGAGAGAAAAACTGGGAGAACTACATTGCCTAAATTATCTTGCTATGGTAATCATCGCATAGAAATTTTAAAATAAAAATGTTTATTTTCATAAATAAACAGTTTTGTAATTCAAACTTTGTTGAAGAGGAGAACTTTACAAAAATATGAATAGAAGTATACTGCATCCTCGATATTAGTTACTTTATCGATAGAAATGCAATAGTATGTTTTAGCGAGACAATACATACTGAGCGTTGAGTGCAATCTAATGTCAACCAATGTAATTATAGGCAGACCTTGCAGCCGTCTCGGTGATGATTCCCAGCACTTATTCAATTGATTATAGTTCCGTGCAGCTAATATTTTTCATCCTTCTCCAGCCCTTCTACTACATTAGTCCTACACTACTCCTGAGAATTTTCTTGGATATGTAGATTGTCAATATCACCTTGAATAGGTGTTTCTTGTTACTAAACGCACTCTTAACCGTCGTTGCTTTCATCATTTTTATTAGTAAAATAATAATATCATTGATTAAGTCTTAATAGGTTTACATGTTACAGTATACATAAAGAAAATGCTGGTAAATAGTAATAGATGTACCTATATACAAACTTTCGCTTTTATAATATTAAGTAGGATATATTCTGTATATCTGTTTTGTTTACATACCAATATGGCGAATAGTGTAGACGCGAGTATAAGATGAGTTTAAATTTAATTTTAAGGAAAGAAAACGTGCTTATTGTGACGATATATTTTTATGGTGGCTTATTAAAATAAACATT